CTTCAAATTTGAATAATTATTTTAGAGTGTTGTCTTTTTTGTATTTTATTTACCACTGATAATTGCTCGCGACAGCATCTGAAATAATTGAAGCACTATTAACCGTTTATACAAGTCTTAGCAGTGGTTTTCGTCTTGTGCTAAGCGCAAAGGATTATAATTTTTTAGTCGTTGCAAGTACAAAGTGAAAATTTAAATTTTATAAGTAATAAAAATTCAAATGAATGAAATTTTCTTAGCAATTGCACATTAATATTTTCACTTACTTTTTGTCTGATTGTTGTTTTTTGGGCGATTTTTCAAAAAAAAAGTTGTAATTAAATTTACCCCGAATTTTTGCTATAATACAGCTATGTTTGAACAAAATCTGAGATGAAATGCCTTTGAGATATTTTAAGGCATGAATTGTGGAAATATTCTGCTTGGCAATTAAATTGTTTGTTTATTAAAGTAAAAACAAAGTAGGATATTCGGAATTTGTTTGATTACTTTAGTTTATTTCTTTGAGCATTTTATGCATTTTATTTAGAATGATAAATATTCATTAGCTATTGATAAGAGCTAAGATAATATATTTAATAACAGTAATGAATTATAATATTTCAGTAGCTAACATCTAATTTTGTCAATTTGGAATATTGATTATGAATTAATTTTGGAGGTATAAAAAAATTTATGCAAATGACAAAACTGGAAAAGTATTTTATGAAAAAAAACAAAGTCGATAATAATGTAGAAAATTCAGAAAATGAGGTAACCACAAAGGAATATGGATTATTAGTTCAAAATCTAAACCTGTGGATAAGAAAGGACTGGAAAACCCATCCTAATCACCTATAACTTGTTATTATTCGCCTACTAATCCTTTTTCTAATGACAAATATTTCAAGTGTATTATTTGTAATTTATGCGGACCGATTATGAATATAATATGCAAATTAGGACAATCGCCCAGGGCAAGAAAAGAGAGTTACAATTTCCGTTTTGTAACAATTTCGACCCCACAGAAAGTTCACTTATCGTGTTGTAACTGACAAAGTAGTGTTGATAAGAGCAGTTAGGTGGGTCAACTTATTGAATGCAGAAGGATTAATTTTTAAAACTATTTTGTCGAAGAAAGTAGCATATTAGTCTAGCCTGTTTGATTTGCCTCCAAAATATATTTGAGAAATTAAGTCAAACCGCGCACTTATTTCTTTCTGTTTCATCTTGTTGGCTTGTTGCGAACAACAAAATTAGCTAGCGTCAATTCTTTTTGACTAATTGCTGCAATTTTTTAAATTTCCAAAAAATTATTCTTCAGACGTAAAAAAGTTTGAAAAATTATTTCCCATTTCAAATCAAAGCTATGATCATAATTGTCGCACTGATTGATTGACGTATTTTCTCGCATTCTTTTGTTATCAGTAATCTAAAAAATAACAAGTCTACTTCTGAAAAGTTTGCAATTATTTGTGACTGATTTACTTCCGAATTCCGTTCACTAGATCAGACATCTCTTGTTAGATCAAACTCCTTCTTCTAGATTGTTCACTAAATCCGACAACCCTTGTTAGATCAAATTCCTACTCAAAAGATATATTTACTTGCCTGTTCATTGCAATTTTTTAAATTCTCAGAAAAATATTCTTGGAACGTGAAAAAGTTTGAATAATTATTTTCCATTTCAGTTCAAAGCTATGATCATAATTGCTGTAGTGATTGGTTATTACCCCTTATTAGATTAGATTCTTTCTTCTAGATCGCTGAAAATGATATACTCCCTTGTATTTGTATGTTCCAATTTTTCCCACTGAATTCTTTTACTTTTTCAATTTTTCTACCATTTAA